TCATTGCGGTGGCAGCTTGACGACACTCGTTATTTGGCTGAATCCCACAAATGACATGGATGTGATAACGCACCCACGAATGGAGACACTGTTCATGATTTGCCATGCATTTAGCGCCGCAGGTCCATATACACTATATAATGTGCACTGTTCCACACTAAAAGAAATTTGAAAATAATAAATAACTGGCCCATGATCTAATTTTGAAGATATTATGTGAAGGTAAAAAAATTATGAGAAGACCTGCTGCTCTAATACACCTACTTCTTTTCTATAAGTCCCCCTCCTCCCCCCCAAATCCCCATGATCGAACCACTCAGGGCTTGTCTATACAAACAGTTAATGCACGGAAAGATAAGGCCTAAAGCTACAGCTCACTAGCGTATCATGCATTAACTGTCCATGTGGACCCTGCTACCTCACACTAAAAGTTCCCTACTGTACTTTCATCTCCTCCTGTTTCAAAGCAGGGTAGATCAAAGTGCACTAGGGAACTTTTAGTGTGTGGTAGCAGGGTCGCCACAAACACCTAGCACATAGCATGCTGTTGCACTGTAGATTCACACCCCAGCTTGCTGTGCACTAACTGTTCATCTAAACAAACCCTTAGTCTCTTTCATCTACAGCAAATCGTCTAGTTATCCCTTGGATTCTTTGCTTCAGTATCCTCTGAGCAATTTATCCCACATATTAATTACCCTTTGCATGAGGTAGTTCTTCCTGTTTCCTTAATTGTTCCTAGTTTCTTGAAGTTTAGATTATCACCAGGACCAGTATTGTGCCATTCATAAGAACACACTATGGACACTGAGGAGCGGTTGTAAACTAGGATAAAGACTCTTCATTAGAATTGGTCAAATATTGTCAATATCAAATTTTCCTTTATTTCAAATGAAAAAAATGATTCCTCAAATAAATTCCTCTAGTGTTTTTCAAAGAATCATAGAAATGTAGGACTAGAATGGACCTCAGGAGGTCATCTAGTCCATATCCCTGCACAGAGTCAGGATTAAGTATTCCTGCACTATCCTTGACAGGTACGTATCTAACCAGTTCTTAAAATCTCCAATGATGGGGATTCCGCAGCCTCCCTAGTAAAGTGTTCCAGTGCTTACCTGTCCCTAGAGTGATAAAGATTTTCCTAATCTCTAACCTGAATCTCCCTTGCTGCAAAGCCAATTACTTCTTGTCCTATCCTCAGTGGACATGGAAACCAATCGCGCACCATCCCTCTTTTACACATTTGAACTTATGATGCCTCCCCTCCCCCCCCAACCTTCTATTCTCTAAAGTGAACATGCCCAATTCTTTCAACCTTTTAAGTCATGCTTTCTAAATGTCCTATCAGTTTGTTGCTTTACTTTGGACTATCTCCAATTTCTCCACATTTTTCTTGAATATGGTGGCCAAAACTTGAACAGTACTCCAGCTGGGGCTTCACCAGTGCCACACAGAGCAGAACAATTACCACTTGTGTCTTATATATTACACGAATACATCCCAGAATAGCATTTGCCTTTTACACAACAGCATCACACTGTTGCCACAGAGTCAACTGGTGATCCACTACACCCCCCAGATCCTTTTCTGCACTGCTGTTGCCTTGCTAGTTATTCCCCAGTTATGTATTTGTGCATTTGATTTTTCCTTGCTAATTACAGTACTTTGCACTTGTCTTTATTGAATTTCATCTCGCTGATTTCAGCCCAATTCTCCAATTTATCAAAATAATTTTGAATTCTTATCCTTGTCTCCAAAGTGCTAGTAATCCCTCCAAGGTTGGTGACATCTGAAAATTTTATAAGCATACCCTCCACTCCATCGAAGTCTTCAGTGAAAGTACTGAATAGTACTGTACCCAGGACAGATCCTTACAGCACCCCACTAGAGTTTGACAGTGAACCATTGATGACTACTCCTTGAGTATGGTCTTTCAACTAGTTATGCACCCATCCTTTAGTAGTTACATCTAGTCCATATTTCCCTGGCTTGCTTATGAGAATGTCATTGGGGACTATATCAAAAGCCTTACTAAAGGCCAATTCCACTCCCCACTGACTAGTAATTCTTTTCAGGATTGATAAAGCCACTGTTAGCTCACTTCAAAGCTTCCATTTTTCTCTAAGAAGAATAAACCCAACCCCCATAACCTTAACTCATATTTACATTCTTCTAACCTGGTGGTATCTTTTTTGCTGTGTGCTGCACTCTCTGAGGCAGTAATAGCCTCCCTATGGTAGGGTGACCTGGACTACATACACTATTTCAAATAGGATTTAATAAGCAACTTTATGCTGTACGTTGGCTGGTACTGTTTCTTCCCCCTGTCCCTCTACACAATTCCTGTCACCTCTTTTATCTATTTAGATTGATTTGTTACTCAACACATGACTCAATGAACTCAAACCTTTGAGTTCCTTGTAACTTTGAGGCCTTACACAACTCTACTCCCACCTATGCTCTGTTCTCAAGTCTGACTCCTACTTCTCTCCACCCAAGCCTCCTTTGTAGCTGCTACTTTTGTCTATTTATCCACTTTCTTTCATGCTACCCCTAAGCCTGGAGCTGCCCCTGCGTCTCACATTCCTGTTTATCTTCCTTTCTGCCACTGACAGATCTCATTGCCCACCTCTCTGCCCCTTTTTGTTTGAACTATTACCCAGTGTGTCCTATTTCTGATTTAGACAGAGACCTTAATTGCTAGTACGTTCTTGTGAATTTTCACATACAACTATAGCACACACTGAATATTAGTTGACGTTTTCAAGATATTAACTTGATTGTAAGCAGTGAATGAGGGCTTAAGAAAACTTATGTTATGAAAGGATTAATGACATAATAAATAATAATAATAATAATAATAATTAATAAAACCACAAACCAACAAACACACAACCAAGGCCCCCAAACAGGAATAATTCAAGGAAGAGAAGGCAATTCTTTTTAAATAGCCTGGCTGAAGATGAGTGAACTGTATTCAAACACACAGCACTTTTTCTTTGCAAGGGATTTGGGTGGCTGGGAACGATTCCTTTTAACTTGATGGACTGAGTGAACTGACACTAAGGCAACATCTAGACTGCGACCCTTCCAACGGCGCGGCTGTGCCGCTGCAGTCACACCACTGTAAGGTGCGCTGCGTTGCCACTCTTTGTTGCCAGGAGAGAGTTCTCCTGGCGACAAAATAAAACCACCCCCAACGAGTGGCAGTAGCATCGTCGACAGGAGCACATCTCCCACCGACGAAGCGCTGTCCACACCGGTGCTTTTCGTCGCTAAAACTTTTGTTGTTCGGGGGGGGGTGTTTTTTCACACCCCTGAGCAACAAAAGTTTTAGCAATGAAGGTGCCAGTTTAGACATAGCCTAACTTAATTTCTGCAGTTGGAGAAAAATCCTGGCCTGCTATGTAGTGCTTCCTTTCCTCCTCCGTTCAAGTGGAATTTAGCAGCACACTTGTTGCACCACAAAGTTACAACATGCTACCTGTCATCTAACCACTAATTTTCATACCTGCCTTTTCATTCCCTGCACAACAGTTTCTCCACTCTTCTTATATTCTTTCAGGATCCTTTGCATGGATGAATGGCAAAAAGAGAAGTTCTGTTTTCATAAAATGGCACACACGCACTAAACACTTCTCTACAGTTACACAACATCATCTTGTGTTTTTGTTGCAAACAATAGAAGGAACCAGCCCAAAAAGGGCACAAGGGAATGGGTGTGGGTGGACACAGGTACTGTACGGCATGCAGGATACATCGGGACAAAATCGGACTTACTTTCTAACTTATTTCAGGACACTCACTTGTAAAGACAAGCCTAAAATCCAAAGTCTCTTGATAATGTGGGAGATCTAAAGAGTGGCAACTACTCAAGGGTGCTTCTGAACTAAGATTCATGGTAATATATTTTTAAAGAAAAATAATACTGATTCATAGATTCTAAGGCCAGAAAGAGTCCTGGTGATCATCTAGTCTGGCCACAGAACTTCCCTCAAAATAATTCTCTTTGAACTACAGCAAATCCAATCGTGATTTAAAAATGGCCAGTGATGGAAAGCCCACCACACCTTGGGTAAATAGTTCTAATGGTTAATTACCTTCACTGTTAAACATTTACACTTATTTCCAGTCTGAATTTGTCTAACTTCACCTTCCAGTCATTGGACTGTGTTATACCGTTGTCTGCTGGGTTGTCAAAGGTATAATGCAATCCAGTGACTGAAAGTTGAAACTAGACATAGTAACACTGCTTTCCACATGTGGAAAATCAATGCGACAGAGGGTCCAACCAAAGGCTCTGGGGTTGAAGGATCTGGGTACTGACAAAAGGGTGGGAAAACTCTGTTGAGGGATGAGGAGTTACAGTTTTATTAAACTCTTTTCTTCCGTCAAGCTTTGATGGAAAGTCTAGATTTTAAAAAGCCTGCATTTCCCAGAACCTAGTCAAATGCAGAGAGCCACCTCTTATCTCTGCTGCCTTAAGATAGATAGCTAAATAAATAAAAATCCTGAATACTGAAGATCTGGTTCAGCTAAATCAATTTACACTCTGAGATTAAAATCTAACCTTTTTCTGATTAACCAGTTAACACACTTTTCTATAGCTATAAAGAGATAAGACTGGGCTACAGGCTAAGGCAACACATATCCAGGGCTTGTTTCAAAGAATTAATGGAAATTTTAATGCAGAAATTTTTGCAGAGCAAAGCAAATACCTTTTTGCTTGTGATGTAAAGTTTCCTGTGCTGCTGAAACATTTTTCTTACCTTTTCACAAAACCAGCAAACAGGAGTGCCGCCAGCTTTTTTGCCGCCCTAGGCGGTGGAAGGTCCCGCCCCCTAAATGCCGCCCCCGACAGAGGCAGCAGAAGGTCCCGCCCCCGAAATACCGACGACGACCAGGGCGGCCGAAGATCCGGCCGCCGCGGTCACCGCCCCCCAAATGTTAGTGCCCTAGGCGACCGCCTAGGTCGCCTAATGGGTTGTGCCGGCCCTGCCAGCAAACCCCAAACTAGTGTTCTGTTTAATGTGCATAACCTTTCATACAGCCTGAATGGGTTACCATTTAGAAATCTCATGGCCTGGAGAGCTGGATAATCACACACTTAGGTCTGATTGTACAACAGCTTGGGAACAGACAGCATAGAAAGCTTAGTCAATCCCCAAATTAAAATCATATGGTTGCTATGTCTACAATGCACAGTTAACCCGGGTGATCAGCACCTGGATCTGCGCACCCAGCTGCGAGCATCCCCACTACAAAGACCTATCCATGCTAGTGTCCTCACTGTTCCTGCACTCACCCGTGTGTGCCTGGAGGCATATCCCACATTATTTGTTCTGAGGTGCTCTAAGATTCTTTCCCAGTCAATTGCAGAAGAACTTTCTGTCCTTAGGGAGGAATTGTGGGCAGGGCATTGGAGTGATTTAGCCTGCATCCTCACTGCAAAGTGATCAGATTCTGGACAGAGTTAAAGAGGAGCCTGCATTCTAATCCACACCCAAAGCCTTTTCATAATCAGGTCTGAGGTTTTCCTGTGTGGATGGTGGGGAGAGGGGTTGGGCTAAAACTCAGGTAAAAACCCAGATTAACTCTGCATTGGAGACATACGCTTAGACTGTAAACTCAGAGGAAGGGATTATCTTTCTGTTCTGTGTCTGTACCTGGCACAATGGGATCCTGGTCCATGACTAGGTCTCCTAGGTGCTACAGTGATATAAATAATAATGATCTATAGTATATCATCATCAACAGGTATCTACTTTATACTCTTCATTTTAAAGAGACACTGCACCCCAGCAAATCCTTGAAAAATGTGGTAAAAAATTACCAAATTTACAAACCAAATGCAATTGGTTTGATGGAGGGTTTGTTTGATCAAATGGCTGTGAAACCCATTTTTTTATGATTTGCTTCACCAGCTGGGACACTAACATGAATCAGAGAGATGTAACTAGTTCATGCACAGTCTTGGAAGTCAAGCAGGATCTGGAAGGAAAAGCTTGTGTAGTAGTTGGTGCAGCGAATCCGTGAACAGCTTCCCAATTCCACCACCTAGTCTTATGTCTAGGGAGAACAGGAAAGGGGAAGAGAATTTCAACTTCTCGTTGATGGCATTTTCACTTAAAAAAAATAGGTCAGGTGGATTAATTGTAACCAAAAGTCTCACATGTTCCCTGTGGTTCTCTCATTTTTCCAAATGGCTGATGCATGAAATTCAAAAATTAAAGGGTGGGATTTGAGAACAGAAAAAGGAGCTGTTTAAAAGACAGAATATTCCAGTATTTTTTTCCTTGGTATCAAGGAGAGCAAAAATACACATCCAAAGTGGTAGAGAAGAGGTTGGAGGGGATTAGAAAGCAGAGTCTTCCAGTCCGTCTCCTGTTTAGCCAATTTGTACGCTAGGTTATTTAAGAAGCGGTAGATGCTCCAATAGAAAGCAGGCAGCAGCAAACACAGGGATCACCTCGTCCTTCCAATGGCATTGAGGTCAGTACACTCTGACCCTTGCTTCAGTGTGGAGAGCCTGATCCTCCTCACACCCATTACTGCCTTTTAGTGCGGGAAAAAACTGTTCTTCAGACTTGGGGGTCTGGAATCCGATAGGCCCCCATCTCTGCTAGGCTAAAACGAACTCAAGTATTCCAGTGCAACCTCATATACAAATTTATATTGTTCCTGAAAGAGAAAGAAAAAGCCAGTGGTAAAATGGTAGCAGTGAGTTCTTAACAGCCTGATTCTGCAAGGTGCCGAGAACCCTTCATTCCCATTTCCACTCCACTTGGCACCATCGGGCTCCAAGAGTTAAACATTTAATAACTTGTAGACCCAATTGCACTTCTCTGGCACTGGCAGAGCACAAAAAGGGTGCAAAGTCATGGGAAGAAAAAGACACGCCCATACAGTCACGATACTGAATATTCATCATTTCATGCATGTCCTTACTGCAACTCTCACACACACCAGAGGGAAATCATTCACTCTAACTGACTGATCCAATGTAATTCATATTGAGCAGTACCCTGAAGTACTTTTTTTTTTTTTTTAAACTCGTTCTTTACTCACTGCACTCTACGGAGGTGTGTAAGGGAGGGACACTTACCAGTGACTCCACCATATTGGATTTGTTATTTCGTAACGTCTTCACTATGTGGAACACGTCAATGATATTTTGCTGCTGAATCATTTCACACACGCTGCAGATGGCACAGAAGGTGCCACTGCGTCCACCACCATTCCTAGGCATGGAAGAAAAGAGGCAGTTTATAAAGGGATGCAGGGGACTGGCGCATGGAGGCAAGCACCCTGCAAAGGGCAGTGCTTTCCCAGATTCAAAAGCATGCATCACTGGAGGTACCACGTGCAGGCCCCATGCAGGCAGGAAGCTTCAGAGGGTTTGAAGATGAGCAAGACAACAGTCTAGAGATTAGAATATAAGAATGTGACTTGAAAGACACTGTCAAACTTAGTGACCTTGGGCAAGTCACTTCACCTCCCTGTGCCTCAGTTTTCTCATCTATAAAACAGGAATAATACAGAAGTCACTTGTAATCTTGTGAAGCTTCATTCATTAAAGTCTGTACAGGGGTTTTTTAGATAGTCGTATGGAAAGTGTTATACAAGAATTAAGAATTAACTAATAAACGTTGCACTGACCATCATGGAAAAGTCTTGCCACCTTTATGAGGTATGCTCAAAACTATTCAGCATCTAATCAATTAATTGTAACCAATCATTATTTGTATTACAATAGTGCATTAAGACCCCAATCAGGATTGGGGCCTCTGAACAGACAGAAGTAGACAGTCCCTGTTCAAAGGATCAATAGAGGGCTTCAAGTGGAGCTCCCAATGCCATAAGCAGCAGTGTTTTTGTGACCACTCCCTATTTGCAGTGGAAATAGTGGCACATGGTACCACGATTCATCACAGTCCTTAACTTCACTTGTGTCTTGATTGCAATTTAACCTCATTTTCCCACCTCAAGTATCGGCTGGCCATCTGATTTCCACATCAATTCTTTTTGCCCTGCACCATAGGATAGGAAGTATTCCCAGCCATACTTACAGGCAGTGGACAACAGTGCGTCCATCTCTCCCATCGTACTGCTCCTGCCATTTCTCTAGCCGTCTGACCACCTTCAGGAGGGAGCGTTTGGATGGAGGGGTGTCCCGGTATGCTGGCCAGCCAATGTACTGCAAATGCTGTACTATACGATATCCATCCTGGGGCTAAAACAAATTGTTATCCACTTCCATTATACCATCAGAAAGGTGGTGAGGAAGAGCAGGGGTATGAGAGGGGGTAGTAGTCACGGGTTACATATGCATTGTTTAACATCACCAAAATACGTAATTATTCCTACTAATCAATGTATAACTTAATAACAACAATATGAGTACAACTAGGCTACAGGCCAGAAGGAAGCACACTGTAGCTGGGTGCAAGGCCTTCATCTCTTTCCAAAGAAAGAAAAATAAATCCAGAGAATTAGGGTGGTTTCAGGTTTTGAGGAAAAGGAAGTTTTTTGTGGAAAGGCTTTAGTTGAGACTGCTAAAAGGCCCAGAAGGAAATGGGGCTCTGAAAATAACTGTTTTTATTCGGGAATAAAGTCATCTCATGGTGGAAGAATGAATAAAATATTTATTCTCTTCGCCTCTCGCCTGTTTCGGAGGTTGGTGATACCATACGGAGAGGAGACAAAGCAGTCATTCAAAAAAAACAATGGGGGAAAAGAGCTGGTATAAGATCCTCATGGTGATTTTACCAGTAGCACAGACCAGCCCACAATTGCCTCTATAATGGCATACCCAAGCTGTTGCGTAAGCTTAGACTCAGAGGTGGATACATGGGGCACTGGGATTATTTTCAAAGGCCAGTTGGCATCTCCATTTCTAACAGTGAGAGAAATAGGAAATATGGGGATAGTACCTAAATGAGTGGGAAATCTGTACTGAAACAACAACTTAAATATCAAGGTTATCCACTGCAGAAGTGCAATAACCGTGCTTCGGTCCATTATACAAATAACCCTGGTTTGTGAGCACGGTTGGGGCTGTTTCCTCCCATCTGTAGGGTTGGGGCTAATGGATGCTGAGTGAAAAGATTTTACAAAGATAACAGTTCCTTATTAATAGGGGCACAGTGACAACTGGAAACCCCAACAGTTTAGCCAAGCAGCACTGCACCGAACTTCAGAGATAGGCGCTCCTATACCCTTCAGCACAAATGGTTGGCAGAGATGGAGTGGAGATAACAATATCCTAGTTTAGCTAATAGAATTAATGATGATTTTACATTGACTGCTAGTTGATTAAGGTAACATGCCCTCCAGGACATACAGAAAACGCTTTCCAGTTAAGGACAGAAATCCAGTTCACATTATTCACCTTGTGATTTTACTGAGAAGTCTTGTACCTCCTAGAGAGGGGTGCAGCTACAAGATTCCACCTGTGGCAGCGGCAAGAAAATCCTGCAATGGAATTTTTTACCTGGCCTTGGGATTTGGTGGCACCCCTGCCCCTTGTCTGTTTGAGCAATAATTTACAGAACAGTACCAATGAATGAATAAATGGATCATCTGGGATGTCACTGATCTTACCCTGGCCATGTTGCAGATACGGAATATCCTATTGATGATGTCGTCATCAATGTCTGCTGAAACAAACTCCACCTGGATTGGACCATAACAACAGGACGTTTTCTCTGGCCAGTACTGCATGCAGAGCTAGTCAAGGTGCAAGACAAATAGAAAACAGGTCACGTACAGGCTAGGAAACTATCAATCCTCTTTTCTTCTTCTAACCCCACACCCAGTTCAGGAACTGTAATCTAAGCCCAGCATTACAGAGGATATGGAAGCCCTGGCCTTTAAAGTGGCTGGCAGACAAAGTTTCTGCAGGAGTATAGATTTAAAAGGAGTGTGTTAATAGATTAGTGTCTGTGAGTGAATTTAATATGAAGCACAGAGGTTTTGTGTTGTGAGTTAATGAGGAAACACTCAATACCAAGAAGATTAATCTTAGTTCAACCCAAGTGGAACTTTTATTTCTCTGTGCAGCCAACTTTTTTATATTCTGAGTTTACAAGCATCTAGGAAGGGGGCAAGCCAGATTGGTTTAAAAACACACACATCTCACATCTCAAATTAAATCACAACTGAACCTTTTATGTGTTTTGTTTTTATTAATATACAATGATTGACTGTTGGATGTCCTCATTTCAATATAGGAATATAGGAGCTATGAAAGTTGCCACCCATCTGGGATCCTGCATTATCAACCCAACCAGCGAAGAGCGTTTCTGTCTTGCCAGGATGGCCGTACAATTGTTGAAACTTCTGCAGAATGGTTCTGGGATGTTGTAAGGTCGTAATCATACCACATGCTAGTCTTCATAATTACATTTTAAAACTATTAGTCTCTCTGATAATATGGTGACGATTGTAGCATAAATGCTTAGATTAGATAACTATGGACAGATAGAGAAGTACAATGTTGTACAAAGCTAGTGTGGTGAGCGCAACATCCTGATACAATTGATTTTTTGCAGAAATCTCACTCTCTTAAGTGATATAAAACTAATTCCTTGTGCTGATGGCTTACAAGATATGTAACTTTAAAACTGTCATTTGTCCCTTGGTCTAGCAGTGTTTTTTTGGCACTGGTCCAGGACTTAGTTTGGCAGACACTGGATCTCAGGACAGTGTAATTTTCAGTTCATAATTAATCACCAAATCTTCTCTCCTTTCCCTTAAAGTACAACAAGGAAAAGCAAAGCATGATATGGCATTGCTGGTGAAGGGTGGCCAGCAAAGGTACTGGAGTGCTAATGCTGGAGGATTTCATTTTTCCAGACTCTAAATGTAAAATAACCATGAAAAGAGGTTTCGTATTTCCAGAGAATGTGCAGGACTGTTTCTTTCCAGTTTGTTGGGCAACCAAGAAGATTAAAAACAACTTTGGATTCATTCCCAGGACATAAAAGCAGGTTTGATGAATCAGATAGAACATAACGAGTCCTGAAGGACCAGGGATCCTAGATAAATCGTATTTGAGATTTCAGACACTTAGGACTCAGAAAACTGGTCACACCAACAGCTTGGTCTTTAGAAAGGCTGAACTGGAGGCACCTTAATGCAGAGGGGAGCAGAAGTGAATCAGATCCCACATCATTCATTCTGCTTGGAGAATCCCCCTGATGAGAATGTGATTGGTTTTTCCATTAGCACTAATAAAGGCAGCATCATAACTGCTGCCTTCAGGGGGAAATATTTTGAAAAGAGTGAGGAGCAGATGAAGAATTATGTTATAAAGTGCAAAGTACCCGAGGCCACTTCTGCTGTTTAACAAGAACTACAATGGGTGAAGTAGCAATCTCCTACTGCAAATTTCCTGCACAATGTGGGATCACCCATCCCTTTCTGATGCTACCCATCATGAGACTGACTGCAAATGCCAGTGCAGTAGCAAGAGTAACCACTCTTCACCCTGCAAGCTCTAGTACTGAAAATTATTTTAGGTCTGCCAACCAACTAAACAATTTATACACAAAGGAGAAAAAAATAAATTGTGCAGTAAGTATCCACTTCCCTCCTCCCTTTCTGCTGACTGTCAATCAGTTTCTCATAATGAGTGAGCAATGAAAAGCTTTGGTGTTTCACTTTGATGAAAGCACCCAAAACATCAGGTGCTTCTCCACAATCTCATGCAAATTATCCAAACTTCCCAACTCGGCAAAACTGGACTGGGGATCTCAAGAAAAAAGGATCTATCATATGATTTCACATATGTCCTACTTCCAGTCACCTGGCAATACCAGAAGATCAGGCTTGTTGAGAGGGTTTTAGCATTTACAGGTCTGGTCGCAGGTGGAAAGCAATGGGCAAAGATGAAGAACAATGTGTAAAAGTATTGAACTAGGCTCTTCTGAACCTCAAAGTTTAGCTTGAGTTTTGGCAGTAGTGGCAGAAGCACTCTAAAAGTGTGTGTGGGGGCCCACAGGTGCCCGAACTGTGGCCCTGCCCCCCAGTGCCATGCCACCCCCTGAGGCCCCCTCCCCACTGCCCTTGAGGCCCTGCTCCCATGTCGCCTCTTCCCCTAAAGACCCTGCCCCTGCTTGCTCCTCTCCACCCCCCCCCCACATTGCTCATCCTTATGGCCGATAAAAATTGCCCTCCTACTTTAAAAAGTGGGGGGGGGGGCATGGCCTCCTGGCCCCCTCTCCCTCCTCCCCCTCCTGTTCTGGCTCTCCTGGTTTTGGGTGAAGATTCACTCTGGATTGTACTTACAGTTGTTTACCCATTCCTATGCAGTTTCCCTTTTGCCTCACAACTTTTCTGCCTGTCTTGAATAGCAACTGGGGTCACCTGAAGCTCCTTTGATCTGTGAATAAGGCTGCTTGACAGAGCTATTAGAAATCCACCTACCTGTGCAGCATCCATCTCATTCAGCATCACTATGGAGGAGCAGTTGTAATCAAACACCAGCCTCCAGAAATCTGGTACAGTGTTGGGTAAAGGGTGCTGGGTAACAATAAAGGCAGCAGGTTGCTTGTGGCTCTAACAAAAGAATAAGATTAGTTACAAAAATCAATCCACTTTTATTGAGATGATTATTAAACCTGGGAGGCTAAAGCTATGCAATCTGAGCCATTTAACCAGATTATACAGATCACACCCCCTCTTCCTTGTTATCACTGTGCAATGAATGAAGCCCTCATAATGGGATCCCTTTGCTCCCAACGAACACATTTCATTAGAGAAGTGGCACAAGAACAGGAATTATGCAAATAAATTATTTATGTTTTGGGGGTTAGCAAATAACAATAATATTAATTAAAATGAAGAAAGATAACTGCTGGAAGCAGAATGTTGCTTCTTTTCGTGGCAGTAGATGCTAGAGACCAGTCAGGGTGCTCTCCCTCACTCTGATTTTGTTTCCTGGGAGCAGAAAGAGTTGGCACATTCAGATTTGAGAGCATCCTCTCAGGGATGGAATGTGGGGAAGTGGTCCGAGCACTGGGCTCTGGAGTGCTCTTCCTGATGCTGTTCTGTGACTTTTGGACAAGTCACTTGACCTCAGCATGTGTAAAATGGTTAGAATGATACTTCCCTCCCTCTGAAGAGTGATGAGAGGCTTAATGGATGTTCATTAAGTACTTTGAGATCACGAGATGAAAGGAGATTACAAATGCAAACTACTATTCCTCTTTGGGGGCAGCAGACAGTGCTTAGGTGAAGCCATAAACTATAGGATTTTGCCTACCCCCTCTCAGGGAGACGGAGTACATACACCGAAGGGAGAAGGTCTCCCCTTGGCATAGGCAGCGTCTTCACTAAGTGCTACAGTGGCGCAGCTGCTGCGTAAGTGTATACAATTCCTCAGTCTCCTGGCTAACTCTCTTGGGGGCTGGATGAGCCACAGTTCCACCAAGTGTGTGTGGGGGAGGGCGGGAAGGAGGTAGAGAGAAGAGTAAAAGAAGAGTGATTTCCTGAAGTTACAGATATGAAATGGATCCTCTTCGTTCTCAGGGTCTGCATTTCATGACCCAGGAACAGGGGCACGGGCAAGCCTACGCCTTGCTGATTTGGGTAGGGGTTGTAAAGCCAGTTTGCAGCTTATGGTATTGGAGAGACCAGACCAGCAGAGGCAAGAGCAGTCAAAAAGCAGAGGGTAGAGGGCAGGAATTTATTTGTATTCTAAGTCTAAAAATGATGCAACGGTTTCACATTCTGCTATCCTAAATAGCACAGATCCCTTCCATTCTCTCTTTTGTGGAGGCTGCTGCTAGAACTGCATGTTAGACACAAAACAGCTTCTGCTTAGTGAAGAAGCAAGCCCCTCATTCTCTCACTCTCTGCTATTAGATAATGGAGATGTGCCTTCGATGACAGTGTCTCCAATTCACTTGGACAAAACTGGATATTGTATCTGATCCCATTTCTAGGCTTATTTTGTGCCAGAGCAAGCCCATAGATTGTACCACCAGTTGTACAATCCATTCAACTTAACAGCTGTTAGAAGACAGATCCATTTGATGGAAGCTTGAAGGTGGGAAATTGTGGTGCTGGGAGGGCAAGTTAATAAATTGCAGCCCCTCTCTCCCCCACCAGATCCTGGGTAGAGATGGGGAGTCAGTGTTGTTAGCCCCATTTCACAGTTGAGAAAGCCGAAGCACAGAGACATTAAGTAGTTATTCAGGAAGCCTGGGGCAGAGCAGGGACTAGGATGAAGGTCTATTGATTCCAAGTCCTCTGCCTGAACCACAAGACTGTGATAGCTTCTCAAAGGTCTGAGTTTGAGACTTGGGCATGGTCCCTTGCTTCTGTACTAGGCCAGATTTGGGCCCATTCTCTAACATAGTGACATGTCTGATAGATCCTTATTTTCAAAGAAGTTGGAGGTTCGTGCCTCCAGAACTCAATCAGCAACCCATTCCAAGGATAACATCACCCCTTCTACCAAGAAAAACATTCAACATTACCCCAACAATTGGATTTTTTTTCTCCCCCAGTTGGAGGAAAGTTGTTGCGACCTTGTGATAATACACAGAGCATGCTGAAACTCAGATGAGAGGAAAAATAATAATGGAGGCACTTGCAATAGATACCCGTTGGAAATGACTGATGGGAGAAGTAAAAATGAGCATCATTGAGATCATGTGACCCCCTTAGAGCAAAGCAGGCAGTCTGCCAGGCTTCACAACACATGGAAAGAACTAGTGACTCATATAAAGGCAAGACGGGATGGACTGGCTATTCTAGGTGCGACACTGGCAAACCAGGTGCCAGCTTTGCCAAGCTTTAGGCCTCAGCTGAGCACTAACAAATTCATTGCTGGAAACCAGTCTGTTTCACCTATGTGTTGGTACGGTTAAGATGGGGATTGGACTTATAATAATGTGTTTAGACTTTATGAAATGGTTGTAAATTGCTGCATGTGTTAATCTCACCTCTAATACCTTTATCACATGCTATAAGGTAATATTTAAGTTTTTTGCCTTACAACTATAAAAAAAAAAGTTTGCCCTGAAACTGTCAACTGTCAGAAGGGATTATCTCCTGCTCCTTAAGAAGGCTATCAACTAAATGGGCCATTGTGAGGCATCACAATACAAAGACTGTTAATTGAAGAGGTTACATGCAAAAAGGCTCATCCCATCAGCTTGAATTCTGGAAGAAGGAAATAAAGACTGGTGAACAAGATTTTTCATTTCTTTTTTGTTGTTTGGATTCTGACAGAACCACTCTAGACAGCGACACTAGGATCCATGATGTGTTCAAGACTGCAAACAATAGGCTAATGGAGAAAGGAAGGAATTCCACCCAAGGGTCCATCTCCCCCATTAGTGATATGGGATTCCGGTTGTTTCAGGGTGTGTTTATCCCAAGAGCACTGACTTGCTCTCTCTGTAAAGTGGTAAATAAAGAAAGGGAAAAACCATCAGCTGAATGGATTGATTTCAATGGCAGATGAAACAATTTGTTTACATGAAACAGTGCATTGGCACAAAAGATGCCACAGAAATGCAAGATGATGTTATGTTTTAGGTGTTGGCATGGCAGGCCCTTGACATCAGACAACTGCAAAACCAGAGAAAAACCCATTGTGGTTCTGCAGATTTGCCAAATTCTCAACTTAATCCCTTAAAAGACAGGAACATCACTATCCCAAACAAAAACAAAACCCCAAACCAACTCCCTGTGTTGGTTGGAAGCAATGGTAACTCTTCACCTGGTCTCAGATTTACAAATACTCCGATAGCAATGTCCTTCCCAGGCACCCCCTGCCCAACGGTCTCTGAGTAACTTAGCAAATGGAAACCATCACGATTATTTACAGTAAAGAAGTGACCTGCTCAACTAGATTCTACTGTGCAAACAAATTGAGGGGGAGAGGGAAAACAGCCCCAGACATAGGTTCACTACAACCTAACACAGGCCCCTTAGGCTCTGAAATGTTTTTCATAGATCCATAGATTCACAGACTCTAGGACTGGAAGGGACCTCGAGAGGTCATCGAGTCCAGTCCCCTGCCCTCATGGCAGGACCAAATACTGTCTGTACACATCTGATTCCTCTGCCAATACTCTTAACTCTGTACGCTCAGATCAAAGGGTTGTTGAACTCCTAGCACATTGTAACTTTTTTTTAATACTGTTGCCTATGCAGCTTCTCCACCTGCCTGCCTGCCCCTTCACGATAGCACCCCAGGCTTTTCTTCCATGGGCCTATTGGTCAATAAAGATCTCTGCCAATAAAGGAAACATTAAGGCATCAAAAATATCCTCGGAACACCACTGATGCATTCCTGCATGTGTATGAACATGCACAGGCGTTGGCTTCCTCCGGGCCCCGGGAGTGCTCAACCCCCTGCTCCGCCCCAGGCCCCATCCCCACCCACTTTCCCTCAAGCCTCCACCCCCTCCCTGCCTCTTTCCCCCCCACCCCATCCCACTCCTTCTCCCAAGCCCCCACCCCTGCCCCGCCTCTTACTGCCCCACCTCTTCCCGCCCAATTCCACCCCCTCCCCCAAGCGCATCCCATCCCCACTCCTCCCCCTCCCTGCCAGAACCTCCTGCACGCCGCAGAACAGCTGATTGCAGTGGGTGGGAGGTACTGGGAGGAGTTGATTGGTGAGGCCATCAGTGGACAGGAGGCACTGGTGGGGAGGGGAGGAACTGGCTGCTGGTTGGTGCTCAGCACCCAGCCTTGGAGCGCCCATGGAGTCGGCGCCTATGTGAACATGGGACAATCAGCCTGGTGCTGCTCTAGTTGCAAGATATCAGCAAAAGAAGCCCCGAAAAACAAGCATGTCTTGTGTTTGACCGATTTCTTACAAGCATGGAAACGAACTGAGGCCTAACAAACCTGACACAAATTGAGACTGGTGCCATTGCTAACAGTGCCTGTAGGTTGTGCTTACATCCATGAGTGCAGCGTTGATGTAGTTGCTCGATTCGCCATCTACAGAGATAAGGAAAGGGAGGCACCGGTCCAAGGGCAGCACATCCATGCAGCGATTTTTGTCATGGTTTCTTGGTAAGAGGCCAATGCTGCAGTCTTCTGGCCGAACACGCGGCGTCACAATGTTGAGGGTCTGTAATTGGAGGAGAGAGAGGTACAGGCAAAGCCCCTTAGAGTTTATTTCCAAAAAGGATGACCTTAAACATCAAATACAGATACTCAACATGCTTTGTAACATTTACTTTCAGTTTTGAAAAGACCCACAAAGCTGAGATCCAGATGTGAATCTTCCCCAAGTATGGAGCTGTTTGGATGCAGGACTTTAGATTGGCCCATTACAGAGCTAGGTTGGGGTCACCTATTTAAGCTTGGATCTATAGCCAAACTTCCCCAAAGTTCGGAGGTGTCTGAAACCAGGATTTTAGCTTGGATCCACCTCAGACTTTGACTTTGCAATTTCACATTTGAGTTCCTTCAGAACCTTTGGGTGAATACCATCTGGTCCTGGTGACTTACTACTTGTTAATTGATCAATTTGTTTTAAAACCTCTTCCACTGACACATCAATTTGGGGCAGTATTTCAGATTTGCCCCTTCCCCCCAAAAAGACTAGTTCTGACATGGGTATCTCCCCAACATCCCCTGCAGTGAAGACTGATGCAAAGAATTCTCTGCAATGGCTTTGTCTTCCTTGAGTGTCCTTTTAACGCCTTTGTCATCTAGTGGCTCCACTGCATGTTTGGCAGGCTTCCTGCTTCTGATGTTCATCTTCACAATTAACCATCCAATTCTAAGACACCAAACCAGGTTTAATGACACTTTTCTGTTCTCTCATTTAGATTACAGGTGCTGTCATGGTTACAGGGCTGGATGTACTTCTGACCCACTGCCTGAGTGTACCCCACTGGTGTCAGGCCTTGTGCCTTTACCTTATCTGGGGCTGGAATCATGATTCTCACACTTATCTGTCATCCTGGGCTATGGTATCCTGTTGGTGCTTACCCAACAGGTCCAGCTAGGCTCAGAACCTGCAAGTCTTCCCTGCAGGTCCAAATGGATTTGGAACCTGTGGTTCTTCGCTTGGGCAGTCAGTGACCAGTGGTGAATATAGTGAGCAGACAGCCTTCTTAAATCAAAATATTGTTTTATCTTAATAGTAGGAATAAAGCGTAACATGAGCGAACAAGGATTTTAAAGCAACAAAAGATCTACATGCATGTTGATATTAGCTAGGGTCTTGCCATCCTCTGGTAGAGACCCTAAGCAGGTCTCTCTTTCCCAGGCACCCCTACTGTCTGGGTCTGGGGGTCAGTGTTTTCCTCTTAGCTGTCTCTCACCCTGCTGGAGGGATTATGTCCTTTGAAACCTAGACAGTGTCTTTATTCGCCTGTATTCACAACCTTCCCCTCTGCTGACAAACTAGTCCCATGAGCTCAGTAGAGGGTTGAAGGTAGACCATCAAAGTGGATGCCTTTTGCACTATTTTCTTAAGTGTTGGTAGGTGGATGGCTATCTGAAGCTATAGTTCTTTTTCCTGCTTGCATGCAGACAATCTTTTCTTAAATTAGCCTGATATATTCACCCAGTTAAACCCCCTTATGACTATCAAACAAACTCCCAGAAGACATAGTTTTAATAAATTATTGCAGAGGAGCTGCACGAATGCCACAGTGGGACATTACTGCAGCAAACTTAGGATCTGGACCATGAACTTCAAACCATCTGAAAATGCAGAGATGTCTGAATCTGCGATCCCATCAGTAACTTAGATGAAATGTTACTGTTTGTCCTAAATTCAAAAGATCACTCAGGCCTGTATAACTGTCCATGATGGATTTCCATTTCTAGATGGTGTGGCAGAAAGAACAATGTGAAATCTCAAATCCCTTATGAAAACACACCTCTGCCAGGATGCCCATGGTAAGCGGAGTAATTAATGCCACGACAGGAGCCCTGTTAGCAATTCATCAGTATCTCTTCCACTTGTCCAATAAACAAATAAATATGTTTAAGCCTCCAAACTGTACACTCAGCTAAGGATATCTGCAACCCTGTATTCCTGTTATTAGTATGGTCTTACCCTGCTAGCCCCCACATTGTGTTCAAGCCCTCTCCCCCATGCCCCCATTGCATCTTACTCCCATTCAGATAATTAAAGCTATTTGAGGCAAGACCTGATGTTCTGATACGTTTATGCAGTGCTCAGACAGTGAGGTTCCACCCATCCAGAAAACTCTGGGTGCTATTGAAATAAAAATTATTATTATTATTAATAATACATAAAAATCTATAGCTATCTCAACTGGTTCATAAAGATGGCAGCTACTTATATTTTTTTGCATCCTTCCCTGTTCTTCACTAAGTGCGCACAATTAGGGCTAAGAAGAATGCTGTGTATAAGTGATGTCCTGTAAACACAGCTTTCTACAAATAGATGGAGAAGGAAGTTCTTAAGCAGACTAAAGAATTCCCTTCCCACAGGAGCTGCCAGCCTCCCACAGCTTGTAAAGCAAGTGAGCAGGACACAAATCTGTCTCACTCGGATCCTGCCAAAATAAGCACAAACGGTGGTGTCATTGTTCAAAAACACTACATTTCAGGAAACTGGGCTTTGGTTTGTTTGACAAGTAAGGTGTCCAGAACCAGAAATGTTTTACAAAGCACAGGCCACTTGTGAAAAGCAGATGCTTTAATGGCATTGCCAGTCATTGGGATTCAAATTACAGTTTCCCTGTATCCTAATCTTGGTAAATATATGCCAGGTATTAATAGAAAGGATACGGTCTCACTTTGTGTATAGGGAGTTGAGAGCTGGGAAGGAAGAAAACCATCTACCGGTAATTCCAATCTGGTACCACAGTAGCCGACACTTAAAACTGCAGAGTATTAGTACTGTAGGTCGGTGCTGGTCGAGACACTACATTGCAGTGGAGATTTGCTGCAGGTAGAGAGTTCTGCACTTCGCTGTTAATGGCCAGTCAGGATAACTTCTGAATTAATGAACGCCAAAGTCCCTCCCTCCCTCTTTTCTTTCAAAAAAGCTTTTCAAAGACTTGCCTTTCCCATGAACTAGAGTTGGCTGAAAACACAAAAAGTGATTGACAAATATTCCAGGGAATAAGAGCAGCGTGTTCAGTCCACCGTTATTTGTGGGGTCATTATTCATTGTTGCTGAGTAGCCACCGGGTATTTGTGAAAATGTTTGTGCAGCCTCAAAGTTTATTCCATTTTAGCACAAATAATTCTGCACCTGAAAATCTGCACTTGAAAGTGCACTACTCCTGGCTTGTGATTCTCCTTTGTACGAAATTTCAGTCATCCAATCAGGGTGAAGAAAGAATCCCATGCGACTTGGACAATCACTCACGAACAGCACAGAGTCAAAGTGAACAGTTAATAAATGACCCATAAACTGACATTTTTTCACATAAACTATGTAGTGAAAGTAAGAACAACAATATTTGTTGAAATTAGGATTGGGTCACGAATGGAGCAAAGTGCAATATTAGCAGTGAATATTATACCCACTTTTGGGCTACTGGCAATCATGAAATAAGATAAAACAATTGATAAAACACATGCCCCAAACGCCAACTGCTATTGGTGCAGACATGAAAAGGGCCATATGCTCTTACCTGAAATTCATCTTTTATCTGGCTGGAATTTGTCTGCGGATCCAGTCTGCTGATGTTGTAATATATGGATCGGAACTCACAAACCGGAATTGCTGTGTTGCCACAGAGACATGCCTCTAGAATGGCATCATGTACAAAGACATACTGCTCCTGCACAGAGCACAGGGACAAGATGTTGCAAATTAACCCCGTTCTAAATAAACATCACAAAACTTCACAGTAAACTTAAATCCATGGAATTGTCAATGCTGATTTTGTTTAAATTATGCTCACTACAGATTTTTAAATGTGAGTGTGCGCACACATGCATGCATGTTGTGGAAGATACAACTTGAAGAGCTCCCTCCACCAGTTGCTGAGTGCTACAGCTGATGAGAGGCTGGTCTTGGCCCTGAGCAACTTCTGCCAAGATGGCTTGGTTAGTATTGTTCTTTTTACAAAATAATTTTACCATGTAAAAAGAAAACCTGTATCTTATAGTTGGAACCAGTTCTCTGCTCCTTATGGGTGACTGCATCCCTTAATTCAGTTATAATAACCTGAAAGACAGGAGTAGATGACACTACTCCAGCAATGTTTCCAGTGAGCAACAAAAGACAGAGATCCATATACCACTGCCTGTGCCATAGATTTGTGCAGAATGTGCCTCATCAGCACAAATGTTCAAGCACGACAAAATTCAAGTGTACTCATTATGCCCATAAAATTCTACATTTGTGCATGTAAATGGGCAGTTTGCGGATTTAAACTGGGAAATTCTGCTTGCAGATATGTCACAAGATGTGCAGTTACAGGTTTTTGCAAGCACAACAGAATTTTGTGAGTGAACCTGTTTTGCCCACCATTAAAAACGTGGCTTGTACAACCCCTTTCAAATGTAAACATAAAATGGGAAGCCTCTGGACCCCAGAGGCACAATGGAGGAAAAAAATCAGTATAAACACTTAGTCTAGGACAAGTATCCCACAAATAGTTTAGGAGCAATTATACTCTGGTGGTGCTATTGCAGTAAAAACAACAAGATGCACGACCAGCTCTATTCCATCTCTCTCATCTGTAATGGACTTCTGATTACTGGTAATTTGAAAGATGCATGGTTTTCCACAGGATAAACAGAATGTTCTTTACCGAGACCATATCCTGGCAATGGAGTCCAGCAGAATTATATTTGTTCCCCCTTTTTCTATGCTCTATTGTCCTGATTCAGCAGGGTAATTAAGTACATATCCAGCGTCAATCAAGTGACTAGTTCTACTGAAGTCAATGGGTCCATTTACGTGCTTCAAATATGCGCATGTACTTCGGCAGCTTGCTGAATCAGACTCTAATTCTTTGGATTTATTAGGGAAATATATTTTGTGGCATATTTCACATATTTGTTTAGCTACGTGTAATTAATTGATATCAAATGAGCATTATGTAAGGGTTCAGATATTAGGGTGATAAGTGCAGTATAATAGAAGAGCATAAGGCTCTTCTGATGGGTCAATGCATGCTGCAATATGTAGAAACCTGGTACAATGACACACACCAGGACTCATGAGATAGTTTGATACAATGCAAGACAAAAACTGAACAAGGCACCAACAGATGAGTAACTGGGTACATAATTTATCCTCATGCCTTGGGTACACTCAATATGTGCCTGTACATGGGAGCATTTAATACATGCCTATTCAAGTTTAGCTACACAGAATTCCATACAACAAGCTGGTGGTGGAAACAGGCATTGACCTAACTCACTCATAGGCTCCTCTTGAGTAGAGGCTGACAGGAGGGCTGTAAAACAAGAGAAAATAGCTGCTGGCACCTACCTCTGTCTGTACCAAATTGACCCTCTGGGATCGTAGCTCTCGCACACAGTTAAATATGTCTACGACACCTTCATTCTCTGCCATGTCCAGCATGATGTCAATGGCAATAAAGCACCCTGTCCTTCCAGCACCAGCGCTGCAAAAAAGAATGAAGCCCTGATCAATAGACCATGAAGAGGCAGGGCTCTCAAGAGGAGAAAAAAAATCTGTGTGTTGCAGGCACAGTTGTCTTCCTTCATTAGCTGCCCCTCTGTACTGAAGGACTGGTCTTCTGTGTTGCTGAAACAGCATGAGACATAGGAGAGTGAGGCTAGGTGGTTTTCTTGGGAAGGGGAAAAGAGAGAGGGGTAAGAAGAAAAACTATTTCTCAGACACTAGTAGGAAGATCAATGAAAAATATTCTAGCCCTGTCCAGCAATGCTTCCATAAGCACCCGAGCTACAGAACATCTGACTCTGTTATGAACTGAGACAGAGAGGAAACTCATGCTCTTGTAATTAGAGGCAGCTTCAGAAAATATATTTTGGAAGAGGTTTTCCCATGTGACTTTTAAAAGCGCTCTGCCATACTCAGGTGCACATGTTGAAGGGGGCCCCAGTTCTGTACCCGCAAGATCCTTCTCCCATTTTAGTTGGTGGGAGTTACATTCGGTACATGGAGAACTGGCCTGGGGTGGAGAGAGTCCAGGGTGGGGGTTGTGAGACTGTAGAGAAGGGAGCTTTGGGCTACTCAAGTGCTTAAATTTAGAACTCCCACTGTTTGCGAGACTTGAAACCTCTCACATGAATGGTGTTGGCAATGAGTCCCCTCTCCCACTGGGGAAGTCATCCGAGTTGTCTAAGTGTGACAGATAAAGAGAGGAGGAAGTCTCTCCCCATTATCCTAGAGGAAAGGGGCAAACTCAGCTAGAGCCAAGAAAACTTTCGATGTATGAAACTCCAGACGGTGCTGTAAAGCAAAGAGATATGAATGAACATGAATTAATGTGCCAGATTAATCAAGAGCTGAACAGGGGGAAGATATTTTTCATTTGCAGAATTTTAATGAATAAGTGGCATTTCCTCTCTCTTTATCTCTCTGCTTTTCAAAATTTTAACAAATAGTTATAACATTTCTATATTTAGAGGTCACTGGCAGTCCATAAATATCGAGCGGTGATATTATCCAGCAAAGGCACTGGTAGGGAGAATTTGGTTATTACCACTTAGAGCTAGTCATTAAAATTCAAAAGCAGATAAATAACAGAGAGTGAATGGCATTTATTCATTAAAATGTGAAGGATGAAAAATCTCTCCTCTCTTTCTCAGCATTGCTGAATCAGGACCAGTCTCTTTCGAAGGCCAGGCCTGGGTCACAGCTCTGAAGTAGCAGATAGAAACCCAGAGTTGTGGAAAATAGCTACCACCTGCCACCTCCTGGGGTTTCATTTGTATTTTATTATAAACCTGCCTGCCTGCTAAAGACAGAGGGATTAATTTATTTCCCTTTTTGGGGTGGTCTTGGAATTCATTCTCTCTTCCCCCTCGCCTCATACATGCACTCCCTAAGAGGTATGGAACAACAGTTGTAACTGGCTTATGATTGATTTGGTTTGGAGGGGAAAGCATGGAACAGCAATTGTGTTCTCTGACCTTGCTAGCTTTTCATCTATGCCTCTTCTATAAACAGATATGTTTGTATGTTTTATTGGAGTGGAAGCATCGGGGAAACAGCTGCTATATACTATTTCTCTGTTCTGGTAACATCTTTCTTATAATGGGATATTGGCAACTCTTGTTCAGTGGTTGGAGGCCACAGTGCTATTATATGCATATATTAATGCAAATACAAAATCAAATGCAGCTCAATTTTTTTAAAAAAAGAATGGATAATTTTGTGACTACCACTTGTAGCTGTCCTCACTATGCGGGGTTACCAAGACATCAGCTCATCGTCACATGGTTGAGGAAGGGACTTTTCACCCTGTCAGACATTACGTAATTGGTTATATGAATTTTAGAGGTCTGGTGCCTCTCTCTAATGCAGGGGTGGCCAACCTGTGGCTCTGGAGCCACATGCGACTCTTCAGAAGTTAATATGCAGCTCCTTGTATAGGCACTGACTCCGGGATTGGAGCTACAGGCACCAACTTTCCAATGTGCCGGGGGGGTGCTCACTGCTCAACCCCTGGCTCTGCCACAGGCCCTGCCCCCACTCCACCCCTTCTCGCCCCCTCCCCTGAGCCTGCCATGCCCTCACTCCTCCCTCCGCCCGCTAGCCTCCTGCACGCCACAAAACAGCTGATCAGGAGGTGCGAGGAGGGAGGGGGAGGCGCTGATCGGCTGGGCTGCCGGTGGGCAGAAAGCACTGGGAGCAGGGGGAGGGGAGATGATTGGGGGCTGCTGATGTATTACTGTGGCTCTTTGGCAATATACATTGGTAAATTCTGGCTCCTTCTCAGGCTCAGGTTGGCCACCCCTGCTCTAATGCATCTGGCACTGGACTCATACTGGATTTGATGGCCCACTAGTCTGATCCAAATGAACAAAAACAGCATTCCTATGCTGCAAGGACTTCACTAGGTTCCCCAATACAAATACTTACCAGGAGTCATTTTCGAACTTTGGGAAGGGGCAGGACTGTCAGGTCTGTCAGCAGGAGGCTGTACCTGAGAGGCAGCATGGGTGAGTGGATAGCACACTGGAGTCGGTCAAGAGACCTGGGTTCTGGCTTTGCCACTGACCGGCTGTATGACCTTGCCCAACTCACATTACCTCTCTGTTACCCCTGCCCTTTGTCTGTCTCACACATTTAAACTTGTTCACTCTTCCAGTCAGGGACTGTTTTCTCAAATGTTTGTACAGTGCCTAGCTCAAGGGGACCTCAGTCTCAGCTGGGGACTCCAGCGACTATTGTAATACCTGCCGTAATTATAACAGTAACCTGAATAATGCTCAGAGTTAGGGAGCATGTAATCCAATAGTTTGAGTCTTCCCTCTTCTTAAACAAGCAAGTGTTCCTGGTACACTTTGGTCAAAGTTGCTCTTAGGAAGCTACATGGCAGATTTCCAGAATGAAATTAAACTCCCAGGCTCTGGGCTAAGTGAAGGCTAAAAATTATATATAATAGTTGGCATCTCCCACTGGGCAGGGGAGCAGGAAGACTGATATCCTGGACCCGATCTTGCCAATGGCTGAAGAGCACAAAGTAGAAGCTAAGGTGCATGTGTGTACATGCAAAGGTGGTTGAAAGTTCCCTTCTGCCCGCCCTGAGCCCCTCACTTGATGCTGCTCTGAGTTATGCCAGTTGCCACAGGAGGGTAAAATTGCAGCCAAGGATGGGTATCCCAGCCATGCACCATTTTCCCCCGCTACACCAGCAGCATGAAGGGCACTGGGCTAAGAGCCCCTACAGCACCAGAGGATCCTCTTCATTGGAGTGATCCCTCCCTGGTCCATGATGCCAGCTCCAGGGCCAGTTTACACCAGCAATGAAGCATAAAGCAGCCACTGCACAATGGAGAACCTGTTCCACTGTGCGCAAGTTCACCTCGAAGGCCGGCAAGCTATACCGTTAACAACAAAAGGTAGCTAGGTGGTCACTAGGTTGAAAGAAACAGGAAAAACTTAAGAAAACTGACCGGGAGAGAAATGAGCGATGACAGACAAGTAGACAGACAGATTGCATACCTGCAGTGCACAACTATAGGCCCCGCCTCAGGCGGATTGAGGAACTTCACCTGCCGAACAAAGCCCAAGAGGCCTGTGGCATAGCAAGGAACCCCGTGGTCTGGCCAGCTGGTAAAGTGGAACTGCCGAATCTCTCGGATCTCATGGTAGCCTTTCTGAGGAGACAATGCAACCTCTATTTTTCTCCCTTCATGTCACAATCACCATATTTCACTGCATTCTTTACCCATTCAGAGGGCTGAACTACCATTTAAATATAATTATATAAAGCCACATTTCATATACCACTTCTCACTTTTGGAGATTTCAAGGTGAAAGATCAAGAGATTACATCTTCCACTACAACTGAAGTGTATCACATAAGCCTGAGGATTATGAAAGTGGTTACCAGCTCCCCATTCACAGTGTACTGTCTTAAATGCAATTTAAAATTAGCTGATCAGTAACATTATGGGGTAACTTCAGTGCTAGGGTACCTTTGCTCAACCACACCTGCAAAGAGAGACTACTAGTGGTACAAATTCCCAGCTCATTTCCACTCTAGAATCCAGTCTGTTCCATTAATTTTTTTCTGATGACGTGAATGTAGTGCTAATGACTGACAGGCCTGGAAACTGAAGGCCATCGAGCAGTTAAGGCACAGGCTGCAAAAGAGCAAGCTTCCCTATAATCACCCATCAATGCATTTCAACCCTATGAAGGAGGGATTGCATCTAGTGCTGAGAGAGTAGTTATGTTGTTTCCATACCCAGCCTTGGCCTCTGGTGAGACTACAAACAAGGGCATCAGCCACTGTCTGTTCTGATACAGGTACTTGTTCTCTAGGAATTGGACCGACACACCAGTTTACTCCACACACAGGCTGCCAAAGAGCTTCCACTTAGTTACACCATTTTGTCACTGACATTTTGAGCTGTGGCACAGAGAGTGCAGGGTTCCATATTCCATTACCAAACCCTTTGATCTGCCAGACCTGCCTTTGGTTATTTCTTGCCAAACAGCTCAGTGGTCAACAAAATATGAAATCAGGGCACTAGAAACTGGAACATATTCCAGTGTAGCTGTGATGAGGTTTAATGAATGGTGTGAGTTTTCTTAGAAAGCTTAATATCACTTATCAAGTGCGTGAGGTATGATTTGGGAAGACCTGCAATGGTCCGTTATTTAGGCTTCCAATTTCCACCAGTGCTTAACAAAACCTTCCACTAAACTGCAGATTTTGGGAAAATACACATAGTTAGGCCCTGATTATTATTTTTATTTGTTTTTAAAAATGGCCTCTGCCTGGGATCTAATTTTACTGGGGCTTTCCCCCCCACACCCGCAATTTGCCAGTGTGAATAACTATAGTCACTGTTCATGGCATGTAGACATCTACCTACTGGAGTCATAGATGCATTTAGACATTTGAGTGCTATGAATTGTATCCACAGTTATTTGTGCTTCCATCTAATTGCTGATATGAACTTGGAAGATGCTTTATAAACATCGGATTAGTAAGGTAGAAAACAAGTCAAAATTTAACACTCCCACATCTACAAGCTTCCCGGTTATGTCTGTGTGGAACCATGCTTCAGATCCCAAGTGAGGTGTTATGTCTGAAGTAAAATTGACTGGGGACTTCCTTACCTTTTGTACAGTAAATGTGCGTATGACGTACTCTGCCAATGGCTCTGTCTCAATTAATGTGACTTTAATATCTCCATAGACCTCTGTGTCATCTGGCCAGTATCTAACACATTTTACCTACAAGAAGAAAAAATAGACTGTAGGGATGGATGGGATAATGGATTGTGTGATTCAAGTCCAATCCAAAAACTGGATCTTTAGTAAACATTCAAAGAAGTTCACTTAACTGCATAAAAATGTTTTTACATTTGTAATTATTTCTAACATTGTGACTGGGACTCAAATCTGGAGCACTGACATATCGTGAGTCTGTTCTCACAAATTTCTCAGTCCAGTTTTGCAGACGTAATTGTTTTGACCAATTCAGAGCAGCATCCAAATATCTGAGTACTCATCAGAAAAAGGACCCAACCTTTTGAGTTTTGCCCATCGGTTCCAACATGCTTCAGTAACCTGGTGGCTACTTGAAACAGAAACACTGAACAAGTCTGACAGCAGCTTCTCTGACTCACCTGGCTACATCTGTTGTGTGTCCTAATCACAAAGCATCTACAGTACAGCAGAGAAACTAACAGCTCAAATACCACCCTCATGCCAGTGGTAACCTCAATCTGGTCAACCCCTCCTGTGTCAGCCATCTACCCCTCAGTGTCAGTAAATTATCAGTTTCTAGAAAGGAGCTCCCCATGTAGTAATTGGCATTTCTAAAGAGATTGCTTCAGCATGCAAGGAACTAGTACCCGGAGTAAGTGGGATATGGGGATAACGCTCTCAACATTGTGGCCCAAATAAATGTTCTGAAGGAAGGATTTCTAAAACCTCAAACAAGTAAAATTACTAAAAAAGGGGGTGGGGAGAGAGAACTGGACATTGAGGCTAGAGGAGCTGGGAAGTGGGGAACATAGGGGAGCAGGGTAGGAAACAAGGGTGGGATAAAAGAGATGGGAAATATGGGATAGAAGACATTGTAAGGAGTTAAGAAAAGGAGGAAGGAAAAGCCATTTCAAGGCCATGCAATTTGAATATGGATTATTTCCTTTGAATTGCTGGGGAAGAGCAAACCCTAGCCTTAGTTAGGCTTGCTAGGATCCTCAGAAACAATTAGGCCTACCTGACTGGCCCAGCTACTTGGCACCTTCCAAACCCATTCCCTGGAGCCACTAGTCTCTTGGTTATCTTTAAAAGCCTAGATTTGCCATGATAAGTTCTCCTATCCTGACTCTTTATACCCCTAGTCCTTGTTTCTGCCATTCTCTTTGTACATGGCCTCTAACCAAGTGGGGGAAAAGTCCGAACCTTCAAAACCTAGCACCTCTGCTATTCACCATTGATACAGTGATCTTTCAACAGTCACTGAGACCAGATTAAAGAAACTTCCCATATTCTTGCTCATGTGAACTTTGCAGATAAAGAATAAGTCACATACATTACACAGAACTCTACTTTGTTTCTGTAGTAAAAGGGTCAGTTTCTCAACTGGTACAAATTGTTGTAACTCCACTGAATTTAAGAGTTAAACTGATTTATACCAGCTGAGGATCTGGCCCAATATATTTCCATCAAGAGGAAGCAAAAACACGATGGAGAAAGGTGCTTATCAGAGATGAAGGGAAGCAGCTAGGAAATAAGAAAATTAGAGTACGGTTTTAAAGAAGAAACCTGAGTGGTTTAATCTATTCTATTGTTCTTCAAAGTGCAGTAAGTGAGAGATATTTACAAGATACTTAGAACAGTAAAATGTTACTACATCTGCTCCTATTTTGGCTGTATCTGGTGAGGAAGTGGTGGAGAGCACTGGGAATACAGCCTCCTTACCCTGCCAACTTCCACCAGGTTGGTGACCATGACAACACTTGCAGAATTCTCCTGCCAAATCATTCTCCAGAAATCCTTAACCGTCTCTTGCATGGGACCTGGGGCAGGAGAAGAGAGAAAAAAGGACATCTTAAAAGGGTACGTTTAACGTCAGCAATCCATTTCAGCTGTTCTTTGCCTACAGCCCTGTTCACGTTAAATCCCACCCTTCTTACAGGGTATTTCCTTGTTCTTCAAGGTGACATCCACTGAACAATATTGACTTCTTTAATAAAACAGATACTCTCTCCAGCAGGGCGGGTGAGATTTTAAGGCTCCAGGACTGCAGAAACTGTGGTGATGGATGCATTATAAGTACTAGAGAGAGATACAGTACGCAAATAGATACATATGATCAATCCAATACATTATGGATGTGCCCCTGTGGCTCTGGGGTTAAGTCACCATAGCAGGTTTATTAGAGCAGAGCTTCTCTGAGCTTGCTTCTCCCTCCTCCCGTATATTGCAGATGAAAGCCCGTTTCCTACCCCAACTCTCTGTCTACCCTCACTGTCCCTATTCCCCACCCTCCAGATTCCCTGTAGAGCTGCACTCCCTACACCCATGTGCCCTCAGTCCCCATCCCTAGTCTGCTTTTACATATTAAAATCTATCATTGCATAGACATGGAAGGGGCCTGGGAGCAGGCCAGTTCAAGGGGTGGCATAGGTGCAAAGTAGGAGGGAGTGAGCATATCTGGTAGTGAGGGAAGGGGTCCTGGCAAAGGGGTGTGGCTGATAATGGTGTAGGAGGGAGTGGGAGGGCAGTAGGGACATCTGGGATGTGTAGAGGGGAAGCATGGAGAAATAGATATCAATGTTGATAGCTAACAACACAAATCTTCATGTTGCTAGTATTTTTAAGTGGTGGGAAACTCCCACAAAATCTTCACCAACTTACAGGTGAGGCTGCTCAATTACATTTTCTATCAGCTCAGTCCACTGCAAATCCAGGAAGTCACCAGTTATGGATATAATCATAAACACACCAACCCCCTCCCACAGGCCTGACCATGCAAACATCATAATTAAACACATTCTCAGATTCTTCAGCTCCATAATAAACTCCCTTTCAATTCTGACCCACCTTAATACACAACCAATTCCTCAATCACATTCCAGTGCCCAACTTACTCTGACCTCATTCTTCCTGGACAAATTACTCATTATAGACTTTACTACTACACATAGGTTTAGATGTTCTTTATGTTAATCTAGCTCCGGTTGTGCATTTGAGTATGTTTCAAATATCCTCACAAGCAGTGGACTGGAATATGCCTGATTTTATTTTCTGTGCATGAATACCACTCTAAGCTTACAGGTATTAAAACACAGGAGATTTACTCTGAGAGTGGCTCTTGGATCAGCTTAACACATCATTGTCTTTAGAGAAATAGTTAGAAGTAGGAGACTGTCACTTGCCTTGAGTTGCAATATAGTGACGAGGCCGGTGGTATCCCTGGGAAAATATAAGAGAAGGGAAAACAAATCAGGAAGGTCCATTAAAATAACACGTCAGAGTGAGCAAACGGACATGCATTTTACTTCTTCCGGGTAGAATCAGCTGTTGTGTGTGAATGAAGCACTAGCACTAATGGGTACATAGAAACCCCACATGAGACACGGGTCCCTTTGAGGAATTACAAATGGCAGGAACTGCTTTAGTCCTCTTTAATAATTCAACTACCATGAAATGTTTGGAGTTTTCATAGCATGGATTTGACAGTACCAGAGAGAAAACAAGAATGAGGCATTTTTCACATTTTCTCAAAGAAACAGCAAGTCCTGCAGCTAAACTGGAGGCACTCTGGGAAACCTGCTTCACTACTTAGATTAGAAATTAACAAGCAAAAATCTGTGCCTTCTGGTCTGAAATGCACACACCTGCCTCTACAGAACAGACTCAACCATCAGTGATTAAGTATATTTTCAGTTTCCTCCATTGAGGGATCTCTTAAAAAAATGTTATTAAGGATTAAGAGATGCATAAAAGAAAATGTGTGTTCTTTTGACCACAGTGTGTGTGTCTGGGTGGGTGGCTATGTTTAAAAAGATATTTCCTACTGCTTAAAAAAATACCAGTACACATATAATGCCTCCCACGTTGCAACCATGTAAACCATCAAGAAGCCACAGGTCTATATTAATGTTATTGTGAGAGGGGTGATATTGATTTCTGTGTCCACAGTACATGCATCTTATATTCCACTTGTGTGTGTGTGTGTAACTATCAGACCCAGAAATCTCATGTATGTAGGTGACTCATAGAGAGAGACAGACAGACAGACCACCCTCCCCAACACAGCACAGAGCTGGGATAAACTTTATCAGCTCTATCACATTTGCAGTGAATCTCTCTCTAAGGGTATCTCTACGCTTGGAGCTGAGAGGTATGATCCTCAGCATAAGGGGACATACCCCCACTAGCTCTCATCAAGTTGGTGCACTAAAAATAGAACATAGTCATGGCAGTGCGAGTGATGGGAGGGGACGGGAGGGGCTAGCTGCCCCAAGTACACGCCCGTCAGAGACCCTAGGTCTGTGCTCAGGGCAGTTAGCCCATCCCGCTGCTCACACTGACATGGCTTCATTGTCTTTTCACCACACTAGCTCAATGAGAGCTAGGGTCAGTATGTCTCCTCAAGATGTGAAACTCCCTCCAGCTCTTAGTGTAGAGCTAGCCTAAGAAGTACCATGCCCACAATCAGATATGATGATATGGTTCTCTGTCACACAAGGTATGTCCACGGCCCTTACATCTATGTAGTTGGCGTTTATGTAGTCTGAGTGAGGGTCTCCATCCAACAGCTGCAGTCTCACTCTTGAATGATCATCTGAAAGATGAAAAGAAAAAGAGTAAAGTTAAAGATAAATAAAAGTGCTAAGTGTTTCATGTGTGGTTAAATGGAGAAGAATATGGCTGTCCTAAGGCAGTGGAAAAAACAAGTGGGCAGATGTACTATAACTGAGCTTTCCACTTGCTGCTTTTTGTAACTGGCTGATTGCACACATACAGCTGTATCAAGACTATCATGGTGTTATCCATAAATTTGTCCATGACTTCTTTTTGGTATTTAAGGTGTTACCTTTACATCCTGGGGTTACCTTTATTTATAGTAGGCATTCATTATTCACTGAAGTTAATATAATCTGTTACGAGATTTACACATAACATGAACATTCTTCATTTTCTGGATCTCAGCGTTCATCCTCTTAGGGAAGTGTCCAGATCACAAAAGCCAACACTACGCTTAGGGTACGTCTACACTTACCGGAGGGTACGGCGGCAGGCAATCGATGTTCTGGGATCGATTTATCGCGTCTGGTTAAGACACGATAAATCGATCCCGGATCGATCCCGGAAGTGCCCCGGATCGATCCCGGAAGTGCTCGCCGTCGACGCCGGTACGCCAGCTCGGCGAGCGGAGTACGCGGCATCGACGGGGGAGCCTTCCTGCTGCGTCTGGACCCGCGGTAAGTTCGGACTAAGGTACTTCGAATTCAGCTACGTTAATAATGTAGCTGAATTTGCGTACCTTAGTCCGAAGTGGGGGGGTAGTGTAGACCAGGCCTTTGAACTAAATGGTAGCTTTCCTGGTCTGCTCAGAAGAGGGGCCAAGGATTGACAGGACTGTGGAAACTGAGGTGAGAGTTGAGATTGAGATTGTTACAGAAGAGAAAAATTTCCGCCTAGCTATAAAGAATCACAAATTGAACTTCTAAGGGACTATCCTAAAAAGATGTCTAAGAAGGTGGCGGCAGGAGAAGACTATCACTTGTAGACATTTATACATGGGGAAGGACCGAGGAAGGCAGCACTTTTGTTGTCATAAAGAATAATATTTTTCTTCAAAGGAAAAAATTGCTGCTTTATCTGTAACCCAAAATAAGCTATGAAGAAACAATCATTTGAAATGAAACAAAGAAAACTTAAAAACAGAGGAGGCATTTAGGCTGCGGTCCAATTCTGGTTTTGGACCAACTGAAATATACTGGGAGCTCAGTTTTTCTTCTGTGGGATTGGAGTCATAATATCTCATTGCACTTTTTATAGAAATGAGATTTTATTTTTCATGGGAGAAATATTTTGCTCATAGGGTGAATGGTGTGACAGACAGCCTCTGTATATACAGTAAACATAGGAAATATTAATGATGTCTTACCTTTCAGGAGGGAGTGGGGCCTTTAATCTAGTTCATATTTTTAGGGGAACTGGCTAGATAAAAGTTCATGAAATAACTTATCTTTTAAATCAGATTTTCCGAATGCTTTACAAAGCTGTTAGGAATGTACCTTATGGGGGAAAGTACACAGTACATTGATGCACTAATAATAACTAATAGTAACACTAGTGCTCTCATAAAGCATCTATAGAGTTTAAAATGCTTTACAAAGGAAGGCAAATATCCTTTTTTTAAAATAGGGAAACTGAGACACAGAGATGAGGTAACCTGCCCAAGGTCACACAACAGGTCTGTACTAGAGATGAGATTAGAACCTGGGTCTCCTGATTCTTAGAACTTTCCATTACTGGACCACATTAGCTCAGAAGCCTCTAATCTCTGGCAAGCTAAGCTCAAATTCAAATCGGAAGTTAAAGAGTGTGGGTGAATTCATTTCACATCACAAAATCACCAAACATTTTAGCATGAGTGGGAGCACCTGCTTAAGAGCAAGCTCATGCCTACAAAATCCAGGGCTGTGAGAAACTGCAGAACCATTGTAATGACATTTTTTATCATTTTATTTTGCCATATCATCTTCTACCCTTGTGAATTAACACAACTTGAAAAATTTACAAAAAATTGCCTGTAAACAGGTTTTAATACCAACTCCAAAGTGACAAGATTTTCACTGAAAATAGTTCCATTCTAGCACACCAAATTCATCATTTCAAACTTGTGTCAAAATTCCCATTTTTGAATAATTGTGAAGGTCAGTGTGATTATTTCCACTTCTCATTTTGAGACTAGAGTTATCCCATGAAATGGAAGCTATACAGAGGCATGAGGCAACATTTTCAGTGAGGTGAAGACGGCAGCCAGGAACAGGATATTGCTCAATGAGGAAGTCAGGAACATAAACTAAGATCACTCCGTCTCCTTGGACTTAGACGGGTTTTTATTCTGTACCCATCCCTGTAACATAGTTTTTATTTTTATGAGCTGTCTGGGTTGCTGTCCATGGTACTGACTCAATTCTATATTTTTCTGCACGTAAGAAAATTCGGACTGAATTATTTATGCTTCATTTGTGCTCTTTGACAGTAGCTCAAATGCCTTTGCAAAAGCTGTCCTTTCTGCACTTTCCATAATTTTATATACTTCAATGATGTTCCCTCACAATCTTCTCCATCCCAAAGGATATTTCAAACATCTTTTTTTTTTAATAGTTTCCCTGTAGGATTCTCTTTGCCTTCTGTTCTGTATTTTCTATTTCTATGGCCCAAATAATGACTTTCAAGTTCTGGTCTGTTTTGGAGGCTCGAGGGACTGCACTGCAGCAGGAACCCTGGGAGAATTCTGGCTGACTCAGCTGTAATTACTCCTGGGGTACTAGGAACAGCACTTCCCTTTGACAGCAGGCATCCCACTCCATGCTGGGGACAGTGCTCAGCCCAGGGGAAAAGAAGAGGGAAAGACTTGTGCTGTCTTAGACTATCAGACTTTAAGGCCAGAAGGCACCATCATGATCATCTAGTCTGACCTCCTGCACATGCAGGCCACAGAACCTCACCCTCCCACTCCTGTAATAGACTCCTAATCTCTGGCTGAGTTACTGAAGTCCTCAGATCATGATTTAAAGATTTCAAGTCACAGCGAATCCACCTGTACACTAGTTTAAACCTGCAAGCGACCCATGACGCAGAGGAAGGCAAAAAAACCCAGTCTCTCTGCCTATCTGACCCCGGGGGAAATTCCTTCACAACCCAAATATGGCAATCAGTTGACCCCTGAGCATGTGGGCAAGACCCACCAGCCAGACACATGGGAAAGAATTTGATGTAGTAATTCAGGGCCCTCCCCATCTCATATCCCATCACCAACCATTGGAGATATTTGCTGCTAGCAGTGGCAGATCAGCTACATGCCATTGTAGGCAGTCTCATCACACCCTCCCCTCCATAAATGTATTAAACTCAGTCTTGAAACAAGTTAGGGTTTTTGCCTCACAGATCCCAGGTACAATTTACTTCTGCATTCTCTCTCCCTGCCTCCCCCAGAGACAGTCTCAGATCTCAGCATCCCTGACTTTGAATGGCTAGGGGGAGATGCGATGAAAATCTGGACCAAAAAGTCCAATAACAGTTGCCATGTTTTCTTATCTATATAATGGGACAAACCAAAACCTCAACACCAGACACCCCCAAACATTTTGGAGGACTAAAAACCCAGGCCTCAAAATTATTCTAAATTGTTTCGCCCTAGGCACATTTTTATTTGTCCATATACAGGCAAACAGATTCCCGCTTCCTCACTGGTCCCTGGTCTACAAAGAGGACTCTTCATTTATCCCCCAATCTTTGCTTGCTTTTTCAGATCTTTACATTAAAGGCTAAATCCTAAACCCAGACACACAGCCCATGTATCTTGGCTGTACTGAGTTCTGCTAGGATACCTCCCCCAGCACCGAGGAAACTTCAAGGCTGAAGTAATTCCCACAGAGAAGACACATTCCACCTCCCCAGCAGGAAAGCTGAAGAATCTGTGTGGTTATGAAGACATGACCCCAACTCTACTCAACTCCCCCAGCTCCCCCCAAAACACCTCTGTGTACTGGTTTGCAGGGAGCCCCACAAAGTAGAGCTTCACAACACTGAAGGGAACTAGGACCCACTGTGCTGAGTCTCTGTATCCTTTCCCCATGTGCAGTGGAACTTGACCTCTTCCACTGCAGTTTGCGCTGTTTGCAATGGCAAGAGTTGGGATTGGGAGAAAGACCTACTGGTATCTGCACAGAGAGGTCAGTGCCCTGTTTTAACACAGTGCTGAGAAGGAAGAGTGAGCTGGGAAAGATAGTCCTCGTACTGTATCATTACCCAAAGGGGTGTAAGGATAAGCTGTGCTGTGATTCGCAGAGTGGTGCTACTGTGAGAGGTTACAACAGAGGCACTTAGAGAAATTACAGCAAAATCAGAAAGCCCTTCAATGCCCTTCCCATGGGAGCTTGTGGTTCCTGTTCCTGGAGCGGTGAAACAGTAATAGAAATATTTAGCAAAGCATCTTAATTGGCATCTGTAGCCTTTTAATAAGTAAAATTGTAAAACTAATCAGTGCAGACTCTGGCTTTTGCCAGCAATTGCATTTGAACCACAATTATGCAGTTTGTTAAAGGTGCAGTGGTTTCATTCACCATTTCCCAAGATACCTTGTTTGCTCAGAATTTTGTAGCATGTACTCAATGAGGACACATCTTCTCATGACTGGCCGTTAGGGAGTCAGGACTCCTGGGTTCCATTTCCAGGTCTGCTGTCATTTCTCTGAGCCTGGTCCTCTTGTCTTCACTTAGGCATAATTCCCAATGAAATCAATCATCAGTCAGGCTGACAGGACCAACAGAGAAGCCACACTATGTGGTGAACATCCCATTTCTTCTCTCCCAGGGGCCTGGTTCTCCCAAACCAGCATATGGATAACTCCCACTGACATCAATGGGAGCTATTCATTTTATGTGGCTGGAGAATAAAGCCCCAGCAGATACTGGAGTTGGAACTGTACCCTCAGCAAGTTTGCAGATGACACTAAACTGGGAGGAGTGGTAGATATGCTGGAGGGATAGGATACAGAGGTACCTAGATAAATTAGAGGATTGGGCCAAAAGAAATCTGATGAGGTTCAACAAGGACAAGTGCAGAGTCCTGCACTTAGGACGGAAGAATCCCATGCACTGCTACAGACTAGGGACCGAATGGCTAGGCAGCAGTTCTGCAGAAAAGGACCTAGGGGTTACAGTGGACGAGAAGCTGGATATGAGTCAACAGAGTGCCCTTGTTGCCAAGAAGGCTAACGGAATTTTGGGCCGTATAAGTAGGGGCACTGTCAGCAGATCGAGGGACGTGATCATTCCCCTCTATTTGACATTGGTGAGGCCTCATCTGGAGTACTGTGTCCAGTTTTGGGCCCCACACTAGAAGAAGGATATGGAAAAATTGGAGAGAGTCCAGCAGATGGCAACAACAATGATTAGGGGGCTGGAGCACATGACTTATGAGGAGAGGCTGAGGGAACTGGGATTGTTTAGTCTGCAGAAGAGAAGAATGAGGGGGGATTTGATAGCTGCTTTCAACTACCTGAAAGGGGGTTCCAAAGAGGATGGATCTAGACTGTTCTCAGTGGTACCAGATGACAGAACAAGGAGTAATGGTCTCAAGTTGCAGTGGGGGAGGTTTAGGTTGGATATTAGGAAAAACTTTTTCACTAGGAGGTGGTGAAGCACTGGAATGGGTTACCTAGGGAGGTGGTGGAATCTCCTTCCTTAGAGGTTTTTAAGGTCAGGCTTGACAAAGCCCTGCTGGGATGATTTAGTTGAGGATTGGTCCTGCTTTGAGCAGGGGGTTGGACTAGATGACCTCCTGAGGTCCCTTCTAATCCTGATATTCTATGATTCTATGAACTGTTGGAAGCATCATTAACTCCTGCTATGTGCTTTGAGAGTCACACTCAGAGGGATCACAGAGTCCAGCTAATAGCACCATGCCTCCTGGTGTGGGCTCAAGAAGAGTAAGGAAGGGGATGCTACACTGCTGCCCAGGACCCCTGAGTCTGGGAGAAAAGATTCCTTTTGATACCTGAATTCTGCTTGATTTCTGGCCTGGCCTCCTGGCTAGTGCATACTCTCCTGGTCCCGTGTCCCAGCAGGAAAATTATGTAGACTCCACTGGAGTCAAATTTTTGATTTTTTTTTTTATAGAATCATAGAATATCAGGGTTGGAAGGGACCTCAGGAGGTCATCTAGTCCAGCCCCCTGCTCAAAGCAGGACCAATCCCCAGACAGATTTTTGCCCCAGATCCCTAAATGGCCCCCTCAAGGATTGAACTCACAACCCTGCAAAGACTTCCATTGATTTCAATGGATGTTGGAACAGGCCCATAGGCTCTTCAGATATCTCCTTTCTTCCCTGGACACTTTCTTTCCCTTTAATGGCATCCATCCTGAGACACCTCGGAAATTGTGAGGCAAAGAATTTCATTCCATTTATCTGTTCCTATCTCTT